CCCCCCCCCCCCCGCCCTGTCGCTGGCCCACTCTCCCCTGCCCCTCGCCACTCCCCCCCTGCCTTGCGCGGTTGCTCACCTTTTCTCGCTGCACCTGCCCCCCTTACGCCCTTCCCGGCGTATGATTGAGCAGCCAGGAAGTCACAAGCCATGCTGTCCAGCTTCTCGCGCCTCGCTCGTGGTCCTACCACTTCGGCCCTGCTCCGTCGCCCGGGTGCCTACAGCACCAGTGCCAAGGCCGTGGCCATCGGTATCGATCTCGGTACCACCAACTCCTGCGTTGCCGTCATGGAGGGTGCCACCCCCCGTGTGATTGAGAACGCCGAGGGTGCTCGTACCACCCCCTCGGTGGTTGCCTTCACCAAGGACGGCGAGCTGCTCGTCGGTCACCCGGCCAAGCGCCAGGCCATCACCAACCCGGAGAACTCCATCTACGCCACCAAGCGCATGATTGGCCGGACCATCGACGACCCGCACGTCATCGAGGATCAGAAGACCGTGCCCTTCAAGATTGTGGCGCACAAGAACAACGACGCTTGGGTCTATGTCAAGTCCCAGGACAAGACCTACTCCCCGTCGCAGATTGGTGGCTTCGTGGTGTCCAAGATGAAGGAGACCGCCGAGGGGTACCTCAACCGCCCGGTCACCCAGGCCGTCATCACGGTCCCGGCCTACTTCAACGACTCCCAGCGCCAGGCCACCAAGGACGCCGGTACCATCGCCGGTCTGGATGTCCTGCGTGTTGTCAACGAGCCGACCGCCGCCGCCCTGGCCTACGGTCTCGGCAAGTCCGGTGACAAGACCATCGCCGTTTTCGATCTCGGTGGTGGTACCTTCGATATTTCCATCCTCGACATCCATGAGGAGGTCTTCGAGGTCAAGTCCACCAACGGTGACACCCATCTCGGTGGTGAGGACTTCGACCAGGCTCTCCTGCAGCACCTTGTTGCGGAGTTCAAGAAGGAGCAGGGCGTCGACATCCAGAACGACAAGCTGGCCATCCAGCGTCTGCGCGAGGCCGCCGAGAAGGCCAAGTGCGAGCTCTCCTTCGCCGCTCAGACCGAGATCAACCTGCCCTACCTGACTGCCGATGCTTCGGGCCCGAAGCATCTGCAGCTGAAGCTCACTCGCTCGGCCTTCGAGCGCATCGTCGACCCCCTGGTCCAGCGCACCGTCGCCCCCTCCAAGCAGGCCCTCAAGGATGCCGGCGTCAAGCCGTCCGAGATCAGCGAGGTCATCCTGGTTGGTGGTCAGTCCCGCATGCCGCGCGTCCAGGACATCGCCCAGGAGCTCTTCGGTCGCGAGCCTTCCAAGGCCGTCAACCCGGATGAGGCCGTCGCCATGGGTGCCGCCATTCAGGGCGCCGTGCTGACCGGTGACATGAAGGATGTCCTGCTGCTCGATGTGACCCCCCTGTCTCTGGGTATCGAGACCCTCGGCGGTGTCATGACCGTGCTCATTGAGAAGAACAACCCGATCCCCACCAAGAAGAGCCAGGTCTTCTCCACCGCCCAGGACGGCCAGTCCGCCGTGGAGATCAAGGTCTTCCAGGGTGAGCGCCCTCTGGCCGCCGACAACAAGCTCCTCGGCCAGTTCCAGTTCTCCGGCTTCATGCCGGCTCGTCGTGGCGAGCCCAAGATCGAGGTCATCTTCGACATCGATGCCAACGGCATTGTCGAGGTGTCTGCCCGCGACCAGGTCACCGGCAAGGACCAGTCCATCAAGGTCGAGTCCAGCGGCGGTCTGTCCAAGGACGAGATTGCCCAGATGGTTCGCGATGCCGAGAACTTCGCCCAGGAGGACTCCCTCCGCCGCGAGATCATCGAGGGTGTCAACACCACCGAGGCCATCGTCGCCGACATCGAGGCCAACCTGAAGAAGTTCGAGGACAAGATCCCCGCCGACAAGCGCGAGGACTTCCAGACCCGCCTGTCTCACCTGCGCGCTCTGGTCGAGAAGCGCGAGGACCCCAAGGCCATGATCGAGTCCGCCCGTGCCCTGCAGTCCGATGTGCTGGACGTCTTCTCCGGCCAGTATAAGGGTGTCAACCCCGAGAGCGTCAACCCCGACGCCGACGACGAGGGTGCCGACAAGAAGAAGCCCGAGTAAATGCGCGCGCCGCCACCGTGTGCGCCCCCCCCCCCTCCCACCATCATCCTCCCCGAAAGAAGATAGACCCCCCGGTGGAGGAGGGGCCGGCGGGGCGAGCGAGAGAGGTGGCGTATACGCGCCCGCGGTGTGATGGGGCGCTTTGTCGCCTCTCCTCCTCCTCCTCCTCCTCCTCCAGAAGGGCGGCGGTGCCGATCCTCTCCCTCTCTCCCTCTCCTCTCCTCTCCCCTCCTCCCTGTGTGTTTGCGCTGGAGTGTGTGTGTGGGGGGGGAGGGTGTGCTGCTCCGGGTCGCGGGCGGTCGGGCGGGTCCCGACGCGTTGCCATGTCCGGGAGAGAGAGAGACTCCCCTCTTCCAGGGCGGAGCCCCTAGATCCGCCTCTCTTGTGGGAGTGTGTGAGTCCCCTCTCTCCCCTGTGTGCTGCGCCATGTCCCCTCTCATTCTCTCCTCCCTTGTGTGGCACTCCTCCCTCCTTCCCACCCCCGGCGTGCACATCTTTCCCCCTCCCCTCTCTACGCCTTTCTTTGTCCTTCGTCGCATTCCTGTTCCCCTCTCTCCCCTCCCGGGCATCAGCCAGGCGGGCGGGGCTGGGCGGTGCCCTGGTGCATATATGCCATTGTTTTCCGCGCCATGGGCCCGTTCTTCCCCCCCCTTCCGGTTGTGTAGTCTCTCTCTCTCTCTCTGCTCCTCCCTCCATCTCTCGTTCTTCGCGCGCGTGCACATGAGTGCATGCGCGCTCGGCCGAGCGACCGGGACCGGGGAGAGACTCGCGGGGGAGCGGGCGAGAGGGGGGTGGCCACACGACAGCGCACATGGGAGTGGGTGCGAATCCCGAGCGTCGGTGGGGGCGGAAGTGGGCGAAGCGGCAGAGCCTTTCTCCTGATCGAGGCCGCCTCTCCCCCCTCCCTTCTTCCTCCTCCTTTCCTCGCGCGCGCCTTCTCTCCTTCCCCCTTCCTCCTGTACTTTAACCCCAGCCATATACATATATACACCTTTTCCTTCCTCCTTTCCCTCGTGTTTGTTGCTGCTGCGTCTTCGGCGAGTGAGGCGATGTTCTTGCCTGCGTGCTTGTACGCCCTTTTTTCCCCCGCGCGCTTGGCCCCAGGGCGCGGGGCTCCTTCCCATGTGTGTGTGTGTGTGTGTGTGTGTGTGTTTCGGTGCCTGACCTGTGGCAGGGGGGAGACCCCTGTGTGCTTGGCCCGACCAAATGGGGAATCCTTGCGAGCGCGTCGGGGTGTGTGCGTGTGGGGCGGGCACACCGCCGAGGATGAGCAGCCACGTTTTCCAGGCAGTCATTTCGCCCTCCCCCCCCCCCACCTTACACCAGCACAAAGGGGCGCAAGCAACCGGCAGAGGGGACACACAGGCAAGACGGCGGGGACTATTGCCCTCGGCCGGCTCCGGCGGGGGGAGGTGGGCGGCACGGCGCCAGGACCGGCCAGCTGCTCTCGGGGCTGGGCGATGCCAGCTGGCTGCTGGCTGCCAACGTTCGATCGCCGGTCCGCGCGCTCCTGCTGGTTGGAAGGGCGCTTCCTCGGTCAATCCCGGGCAGAAGGCTCTCGAGTTTGCGTGCCCTCGCCGGTGTGAATCCGCCCCCCGAGCGCCACCACCCTGGGGCGGCATGCGCGCGCCGGCCATCTGCTCGCGGGAGGGGGTGACACGTGCGGATTTCGCACCATCACGGCAGCCGCGGGGCGCTTGGAGATACCCCTGGCGCCTGAATGTGCGCGCCATCGCCCGCCGGCCGCCGATACCTCCCTTCCCAACGCGGCACCATGGTCGTGTGAGTCCCATGGGCGAACGCCAGAGCGGTAATCCGCCTCGCGGGTCCTGCCCAAATGCAGGGACATTTGGGCAGAAGGCCTCCTCCCTCCCGGCCCCGGGCAGGCGAGCGGCGGCCGGATGGTGTCTCGAGCATGCTGCCCGGCCATATTAAGGCGGGCCCGATGGACACAGCTACTCCTGTCTCCATTAGCTCCCCCTCCGGATCCCCCCGCCCCC